TCTTCATCTCTGCATTCAAAACAGGCAGTGAGATTAAAATATTCCAGTCCCCCATGACAAGACAAGGACCCCTCTGCCTTTACTGAGAGCTGCTCAGTGCTAACAAACCCCACCACCACTCCCCAGGCTATTTTTGCTATGATAATTCATCCTTTCCCCCCAGTGTGATTAAAAGGGATTAGTTTACAGGGCTCCATTTTTTCCCCTATTCCTAATCGCATGTTCAGGATCAGTCCTTGGCAGGATACTGGTCCCAAATTATTTCTAGCCCTATTAGGCTGCAAAATACGGCAACCTTGGGGGATGACAGCAAGCAAGCTGGGGATCAGAGAGATGTCATTTTAAGGCCCAATGTCTTGTGATCTTTTTGGCAGCAATACATTCAGCTGTTGTACCCCAGTGGGAATCAAAATCACAGCTTTCCCAGGGGGGCAGAAATCGTTTCTAGCCTTGAACAACACAAAAAGCTGGACCATAAATGCACCACTGATCTATAGCTAGGGTTTTGGAGAGCTGTCTAAGAACAGGCTATTTCAAGTCGCAGACGTCAGATCAGTGTAGCTTCCGTCCCTCGACGCTGCCTTTTGAGTGCTTGTCAGACTGAAACCAGTTCTTTGATTACACTACACAATGGGGCGATACAACCGCAAACCCCTATCAAAGCCTTACGTAGAATGGGGACGGGAGGGGAAGAGAACCAAAGAAAACTTCCTTCTTCCGGTAGGGACTGATCCACCAACAAAGGAGAGCTCTGGGCACCACAGAGACTTAAGGCAGTAATTACATGCCCATTCGTTAGAATCTTACTTTTCAAAGAGTTTTGCTGATCAGGCCAACTTTAAAATGAACATTACCTGAGTGTAAGACCGGACGCTCATGGTCTAGAGATCTCCTCTCGTACTTGGATTCGTTCTCCTGTTTAATATTGCAGTGCTCGAAGGACTGATAACCCTGGGGGTCATTCTGATGAGTATTGTTGTCGACACCATCTTCAAACAGAAACAGGCATGCATTAAGGCCGTTACTTACAACGGACTGTAACTAGAATGTGCAGAGGAAAACTGAGCTTCGCATTTTATCAACAGGGAATTGGTCCCTGCAACTATTGGGACCTATGCAACAAAGACTAACAGGCCTGGCACCCAGCGCTCTCAGAAAGCTTTCATGAAGGCAAAGAAGCCAACCACTTGTTCACTGCAAAAAAGTCGTGCGTTTCAGTCACAAAACTTTTCCAATGGAAACAACCCAGTTTCCACTAAAAACAACAAAACCCTGAAATCCCAGAGTTAGGCGAGTCTACACTCCAGCAAACAATGACAGACACAACACTTCCCACATGTGTAGTATTAACCTGCGACCCTCATGTCTAGCGTTGTAACCAGCAGGGCTGATAACTTGTGATTTACTTTCCAAGATCCACAAAGAGTGAAAGTGAAAGTGGCCAGGGAGGCAACACCACCTTCCAGGGGAAATGCAAAACAGCCAATTTTGGTGATCTGCTCAGAGGCCATCAAACAAATTCAGCAATGATATAGCAAGAGCATCTCAGTGCAGAACCTAAGCAAACCAGTGGCTCATTCCCTTTCACAGCATGAGGAGGTATCTTAGCAAGTTACACGGAAATACTGCACGCCAGAGAAGCACAGAACCTGTACGAGATGCGCCATTATTAAGGATAAAAGCACGCCTCAAAGGGCTGTTAGCAAGTAAACAAACTGCCCAAGGAGACATGTTTCCAAGCACCAGAGATTTAGGGAGCTTCCTGCGCGTGATCTGAAGTGTAATATAGTAAAACGGTAAGATGACTAGCGAGTCCAGACCCATACATACGCCCAATGCAGAACCCCTGAGGGGCAGTTCAGTTTCTGTCTTTTAAATTCAGTCTGTTGCATAAAACAGAACGGATCAAATATATTACCCAGACATCTGCGCACTTGCACATGCAGCTCCTCCAGCCGTACGTTCGCACCAAGAAGGAATATTAGGCCAGCAAAAAGCAGTGGAGAACAGACTAGACGTCGTTCTACAGCACCTGCCAACACCAATTCTACGACCAGAGCAGACCCTAACCCCTGGTGAATGGGGGGAAAGCTGACAGAAGTCTGACTCTAGAGGATGTCTCATCAGGGTCTCTCAACGAACGGGCTGGCAGGATTCCCATCTGCCAAAATCCATCAACAAGACAACAAAACGAGGAACTACTCTGGCAAGGAGCTGACCAAAAAAAACCAATCGTGTGGTGCAACAGATAAGCATCCGCAGCTGGCAGAAGGATGCAACGTTTCCTCATTGGGGCGCGGGGGTCTATCGGGTAGATCTACACACTTTCTCTGCGACACCTCCACCTCAGGACAAGATGGGTGGGCCTCGCTGGTTGTGTCAGAACCCAGGCGTCCCGACTCGCTGTGGCCGTGGCCCCTGCTCTAACCACTAGGCGCTCACGCCCTGGGGCTGGGTTAGCACATCCCACCTGCCAAGCGGGGCCCGGGGAGAACACGCGTGTTCCCAACCGCCGCGGTGGAGACGCCCGGCCCATTGCAGAGACCGGCGCAGCTCTCCTGGCAGTGACCTCAGATGACACCAGCGGGCAGAGCTCCCGCCAGTCTCACCAGCGCCACGAGCCGCAGGGGCCTCGGGACTGTGACGCCGACGTGCCCCCGGTGCGGTCCCCTGGGGACAGGGTGACCAGACGTCCCCATTGTACAGGGACAGTCCCGACTTTGGGTCTTTTTCTTATATAGGCTCCTATTACCCCCCACCCCCTGCCCTGATTTTTGACACTTGCTGTCTGTGGACCTGACCCGACCCGGGGACTTTAGTAACCGGTCGCCCGCACCCGACAGAGCGACGCCGTCAGTGCGGGCCA